CAAGTGAGCGCAGCGAACGAGGTGGCTTTATGAGGTGGTTATAGCAACTGACAAGGCTTTATCACACCATATTCACCGAGAAAGGGCGGGCCATTAACGCTATTATCATATAGCTTACACGATAGCCTATCCAAACTGATGCAGTGACACACAATGTACAATTTACCCCTTGCACATGCTGAATAGAACATAGAATATTTGTTCCATCTGGAGTCAGCTGAGGTCATTGGGGGGTTCATGTTCTATGGCCTTCTATCTGGGTCACAGGCAGGGAACAGGTGTTCTTATGGGAGTCATTGGAACACAACTCAAGTTATTTTTGGATTTTTTAGAAGCAGAGCCGTGTTCTATTGGGTCACCTGAGGTCATATGCGGGTGATTATTCATTTTGTTTAATGTATGGATTGGGATGAATAAATACCCGATTTTGACTCTATTTGTGACATTACGGCGACATAAGGAATGTGGAATGGAGCCTTGTGATTGGTCAACGTCACCCGGCTATATGATAATACTATATAATGACCCCACCCTTTCCATATAAATTCGATAACATAACTACAAGACTACAGTCTTGTTCTGGCAGCCGTGCAGTGTACATGGGGGAGGCCTGTCCAAGACAGTTTAGCTTACCAAGTAAACATTCTCTTCAAGACACTTTAGAAATGAAACACACATATATATATATATAAGAAGTCATATTCACTAGTATTAGTAACCCAGAATATGAAGTATAATAGTAATGGCAGCTCTGACTAGCTTGAGACCTTGGTTGGCAGTTACATGCCCAGTTCTACATACAGAGCCTAAGTTTACACTGGTTTATCTGACTGTAAGTAGTAGGCATCACATTTACAAGCCATATGTCAGACCCAAAACTGCCAAAGCTTATTCAGTTGTCAAAAAGACATTTCAGGTTGCAAGTAGATAGGGCACCATATATATCCTTGGATAAAACTTTGACAGGGCTGATTTGAATTGAAAGTTGGAATTTGATCAAGGTTGATATTGCAACCTGAAAGTTGCTATTTTCATGCCTATGTGGCTTTGTAAGAAGTATCTGAGTCATTCTCCCTTTTGAAAATTTTACACTGAAAAACAGTAGATAATAAAAAAAATTGAATCTTTGAAAACTGACCAGTATGCAAATCTGCTCCTAGATCCTTCCTTTAATGTTCTGGAGGTTAGACTGTCTAGAATTTTTATGAGTTTAAGGGTCAATTCACAATTTAAACTGCTGGGAAGGTCACTATGGGAGCACTTCCTTATTGTTCTTACCCAGGGCAAACAAAAAAAAATAACAGCTGCACTTACTGCATGTAACTATTTAGTTCTCATATGTATATACAAGTAGTGTGTTCCATATAGATTAACTCATTTTGAGTTATTCAGCAACATTTCTTGGTTTGGGCTCTGGCACACCTCCCACCCTCCCAGGAGTCACAGAAAGGAGGTGCTTCTCCAGTGTTGCCCTCAACCTCCTCTCCGGATCCTTTATCCCACTATGGGACCTCTCCAACCCATTGAATATGGCGTGGCAACTTTCGATCCCCTGTTCTCCGTGAAAACCGATCCCGAACCCCCAGCGTTGAATCCAACCCACAACGTGGTCCTCCAGAAGGTGCATTTTGAGGGGAATAGTCGCAGACGGGAAGGTATGCCTGAAGTAGGCCATGAAGGTCTGTATACAGGCATCTATGAAGAGAGAAATGAATAAAATATTTATTACCATTGCCATCAATTAGAAATGAAAAAGAACAACTAGAAAGGCCAGCATTTGCTCGGGAACAAATACATCATATTTCAGTCCCTTTCCCTTATCAGGGCTCAAAATACTGGGTGCATGAGCACCTTAGTGCACCCAAATTTGGAGCTGTGCACCCAATCTATTTCTCTGGGTGCACCAGTGCACCCAAATATTTTTGTAGGTTTACATTTTAGAAATGTATAGGAGTATACAACATATTCTCAACATCTCAAGTGTCAGAAAAATAATAAAATCATTGTTTTAGTACTGGTCATACCCAAACTTGTAATGTCCTCCTGGGACATGGGCCCGGCGTGACCGTACTTCACATGGCAGTCAGCAAACAGTTGGAAGAGGTTCTTAAACCTCCTCTCCACTGTTGCCGCTCTTGTATACACTGCCAGAGGAAAGTCATGCTCCTCCACTAGCTCCTCAGCTACAATCTTTGCTGCAGATGTCAGCTTCTGTATGGCATGGTCCTGTAGAAAAAAGCATTTATCGATGGAATATTACTTGCATATGTGCTGCAGTCAATTAACCATTGTTTTTATTTGTATTTACATTAAACTACAGGCCAATATTAAGCCACAAAATAGCTTTAATCTAAGGGAATATATACATTGTACAGGATTATGATTGTATTCTGTTTATAAACTAAGGCCACACCAATTTAATTTCTTGGTTAACGGATTCACCCGCTTCATTTTTTCTGATATGCAAAAAAAAATTCAGAATGAACTGCAAAATGCTCATATGTTGCCTTGAACAGTTGCAAACAGTCCTTTTCTTCCTAGTTGTTACAGCTATCCCATTTTTTTAATGCAGTGGTATTCATAGTTTAAATTTTTGAACCAGCCTGGTGTGTTGACTTCATGGCTCCTATCATACCATTTTTGGGCCATAATAGGATGCCTAGGCCTGTTTTTATTTTTTATTTTTCGCCCGCCCGCTCCATTTTTTTTCTAGAAAAATGCATTAACCAAGAAATTGAATTGGTGGGGCCTAATCACATATAAATTTTTAGAAGCAAGTAGTTGTCTAAATCTCTAATTCATTTTTAGAAATCTGTACTGTTAAATGTTTAAGATAATATGGATGTAAGACTGAATGTACTCAAACATGTGGGTGTGCTATGGGTATGAACATTTACTTTAAGCATGGTGTTGACGTGGTTGCCCACAAAACACTGCCCATGGTACGGCTGTCGTTGAACTTGCAACTCCTGGAGTTTGTCATCAAGTAAACTTGCAAGTGGGCCATCTCGAGTCGCTACCCGACCTT